CACACACACACACACACACACACACACACACACACACACACACACACACACCCCTGAACAGTTTCTGATAACACACATCAGCTTCTCAGGTCCAAGAAAGATGGAAATTTCAACTAAGTCAAAAGAGACAGTTTTTGGTGTCTCACGATTTGAATATAGGACTAGTATACAAGACTAAGGCAGACTGGTGATCATGGAGATTTCCAAGACTAATAAGCAATCTACCTGAAATCCTCCATAACAGCACCATAAAATCAGCTCTCACCATGGGTCCCCGCTCCCATCCTGTAATTATGGAACAGAAGGCTGAGGTTGTGACATATGAGGGGCTGCTACCCTGATGAACTTAGCAACACCTCTTTCCATTCTCCATTCACAGAATCACTGTCTCTCTAGATGCACCAAATTCAGTTTTGAGCCTATAATTCCTGCTATGGTTTTACAGTGTCTGTCCCCAAAAGTTCATGTGTTGGAAACTTAATTGCCAATAAACAGTATTAAGAGGTAGGCTTTTAAGAGGTGATTGGGTTATGAGGGTAGAGGCCTCATGAATGGATTAGCAGCAATGAGTGAGTTTTCACAAGAGTGGGTTGTTACAAAAGCAAGCTCTGGCCGGGCATGGTGGCTTACAACTATAATCTCAGCACTTTGGGAGGTCAAGGCAGGAGGACTAGTTAAGCCCAGGAGTTCGAGACCAGCTTGGGCAACATAGCAAGACCTTGTCTCTACAAAAACATCAAAAAGTTAGCTGAGTATAGTGGTGCACACCTGTAGTCCTAGCTACTCAGGGGGCCGAAGCAGGACTGCCTGAGCCCAGGAGGTCCAGGCTGTGATGAACTGTGATCATGCCACTGCACTCCAGCTTGGGCAACATAGCAAGACCTTGTTTCTACAAAAACATCAAAAAATTAGCTGAGTATAATGGCACACATCTGTAGTCCTAGCTACTCAGGAGGCTGAGGCAGGAGGATTGCCTGAGCCCAGGAGGTCTAGGCTGTGGTGAACTGTGATCATGTCACTGCACTCCAGCCTGGGCTACAAAATAAGACCCTGCCTCAAAAAATAATAAAAATAAATAAATATATGTATATTTACCCAAAGGAATAAAAAACAGGCTTTTTACAAGATTAATCTGGCAGCAGAGGGAAAGACTTAAGGTCAATTACCCTATCAGAAAGTTGTTTCAGATAAGATAAACAGTCAGGCATGTGGTTCATGCCTGTAATCCCAGCACTTTGAGAGGCAGAGGCGAGAGGATTGCCTGACCTCAGGGGTTCGAGACCAGCCTGAGCAACATGGCGAGAGTGCGTCTCTACAATAAATCAAAAAGTCAGCTGGGTGTGTGACACATGCCTGTGATTCCAGCTTCTTGGAAGGCTAAGGTGAAAGGATCACCTGAGCCCAGCAGGCCGAGGCTGCGGTAGCTGTAAGTGTGCCACTGCACTCCAGCCTGGGTAACAGCGTGAGACTCAAAACAAAAACAAAAAATAAAAACAAAAACAGATAAGATAAACAGTGGAAATTGAAATAGAAGGACCAGATGTGAGAAGCATGGGGTAAGAAAAATCAAAGCAGACTCCTTGACTAAAATAGGTTGACCTTATGAATATTCTGGAAATGACACAATCTGGAAATGACAATACATCTAGAATACAGTATGAAAATGACAACACATATTGGTAATCAAATCATTAATCCAAACTTACCCTCTGCAATATCTGAGCATGATGTGCCAATGGCTGTGTCCCCACTGTCAGCTACACTTGAACAGCGGCTGAAGCGGCTTCGAAAGGCCTCCGAGATAACTGGGGTCTGCCATTCAGTCCCTAGGGAACTGCCCTTCTGAATCACGCTTGAACCTGAAACAAGTGGCATTTCTCACCTTAATTGTGAATGAGCTGATGTAACCCCACGAGACGATTTTTTTTAAAAAACCACTTAAACCTATGAGAGAATAGCAGTATCCACTCCTTTCTCTCTCCTATGCCTATTTCAGCTACTCTGAGCTAGTTAATTGTAAGTGGAAATGGCATGAGAGGTGAGAATACCCAAAGGCAAAAATAAGACTTACCAAGAATCCAGCAGTACTGGAACAGAAAACAATCATATTTAATAGCAGTTGCCATTTATTGAAAACAAGAAGCCACAGCACTTTAAACATAATCTTGCCTAAATATTTATTGAAAAGTATTATGATCTCTATATTGCAGAGGGGAGAGCTGAGATTTGAATCCAGGTCTTTCTGACTTCAACACATTCTTTCCTCTTACAGTTTTCCAATGGTGCTTTTGCCTTCTGGGGATGACGATTCTTCAAAGTGTAGCCTATATATTACAGAATGGTTTAGCATCCCTGGATCCCACCCACTAAGTGCAACTGATCCCATCATCACGTGAAACCCATATAGTTCCAAATGATCCTAGGAAAACAGGCAGTCCAGTCCCTTGCTGAAAATCATTGCTGCACTGAACCAGAGTACCTTCAATAGGTGAATCCAGATGAAGGTGAGTTTTGAAAGTCAATCTGAAGATCTTAAGACTTTATGTTAAGAGCAATGAAAAGAAACCACTAACATTTCTGAGCAAGTAAGACAAAAAGACTGATAAGATTTTTAAATTTAAAGCTGTTTGAGGATTGGTAGGTAGGAAGTGTTCCACAAATACTTGATTAACTAGCAAAGACAAATTCAAATTAATTTTTAAAAGTCACTATAATTTTTTTTTTTTTTTGAGTTGGAGTCTCACTCTGTCGCCCAGACTGGAGTGCAGTGGCTGCTCCCGGCCACTACAGCCTTGACCTGGTGGGCTCCGGCGATCCTTCTGCCTCAGCCTTCCACATAGCTGGAGCTATAGGCACACACTACCTCGCCTGGCTAATTTTTTGATTTATTGTAGAGATGAGGTCTCGCCTGCCCAGGCAGGTCTCGAACCCGTGGGCTCAGGCAATCCACTCACCTCAGCCTCCCAAAGGCGCGGGATTACAGGCTGAGTCACCAAGCCCGACTCACTATAATTTTTTTAAGTTGTAGCTGATGATCCATGTAAACCAAAAAAAAAAAAAAGTGATGGTGCTATTTATCCTCCAGTTGACTTAAAGTGTCAGAGCTGACAAAAGAAAATACGGTTCTACAGACTTTCTGATCTAGTGGGAGGCAAATAATATTTGAACACAAATTACCTTATTCCTTTTTTCCAAGTTTAGTGTTTCTCCCATCTTTTTAACCTACTTTCTTCTACTTTTGCTCCTTTTTTGTTACTCTTACCTCTGCTTTCTTTTTTCTTTTTTTGAGTTGGAGTCTCACTCTGTTGCCCAGGCCACCACCGCCGCCTCGACCTGCTGGGCTCAGGTGAGCCTTCCACCTCAGTCTTCCAAGAAGCTGGAACTACAGGCGCTGGCGCCACCATGCCTGGCTAATTTTTTGATTTATTGTAGCGATGAGGTCTTGCCAAGCTGCTCAGGCAATCCTCTCACCTCAGCCTCCCAAAGTGCTAGGATTATAGGCATGAGCCACCATGCCTGGCCTTCTTCTGCTTTCTACTGAAGGCAACCTAACTTCCCTCAAAGACTTCTTTTATTCTTTGGGTCAAAGTGGACTACCCTTGATTTTTTTATATAAATTTTTTATTTGAAACATGTGAGGGGCAGTTTCTTTTGTCTGTCCCAGCTCTGGCATGTCTTCCTTTTTCTTTTCTCCACTCTCTCTCTAATAAATTTTGTTAAAAAAAAAAAATGTGGGATACAATTCAGTGTTAGGTATACAAATGTTCATTATGCAGGTACCCTTGTTGATGCCCCTGATTTGAAAGAATTTGCCCAATCTTTATACATTCAGTAATCTGTGACAATTATTAATAGAAGACATAGGCAATAATCAGAGCTTTTGAAAAGCACAAGATTATCCAACATTAATTGTATGCAAGGCAACATGTTTAGGAAAATATACCAAATATCTATCAAATGTCTACCATGAGTAAGGCACAATGGAATTTTATTTTATTTTATTTTTTATTTTTTTATTTTTTATTTTTTGAGCTGGAGTCTCACTCTGTCGCCCAGACTGGAGTGCAGTGGCTGCTTTTGGCCACCACAGCCTTGACCTGCTGGGATCCAGTGATCCTTTAGCCTCAGCCTTCCAAGTAGCTGGAACTACAGGCGTGCGCTACCATGCCCGGCTAATTTTTTGATTTATTGTAGAGATGAGGTCTCGTCAAGTTGCCCAGGCGGGTCTCGAACCCGCGGGCTCAGGCAATCCACTCACCTCGGCCTCCCAAAGTGCTGGGATTACAGGCTGAGCCACCGAGCCCAGCCTGGAATTTTATTTTTATTTATTTATTTTTGAGTCAGGGTCTCTGTCACCCAGGCGGGAGTGCAGTGGCACTATCATGGCTCACAGCAGCCTTGACCTCCTGGGCTCAGGCGAGTCTTTTGCCTAAGCCTCCTGAGTAGCTGGGACTATACATACATGGCACCACGGTCAGTTAATTTTTTAATTTTTTTGTAGAGACTAGGTCTTGCTATGTTGCCTAAGTTGATCTCAAACTCAAGACTCAAGCAATTCTCTCGCCTTGACCTCCCAAAGTGCTGGGATTTATAGGCATGAGCTGCCATACCAAGACAACTGTAGGATTTTAAAGTTAAATAAAACATGTCCTTAGTTGAATAAAATGCGCCCTCTTTATAAATATCCAATAATGTAACAAGTCATTTTTCTAAAATACTACTTCCTATTTGAAGTATATCATATCTACTGAATATGCCTATGCAGTATATATATATTTATATGTGTTTAATATAGTCAGCCCTGTATATCCATGGGTTCCATATACATGTGAATTAAATCAACTGCAGATCAAATATATACCAACAAAACCTGCATCTGTTCTGAACACATACAGACTTGTTTTTGTCATTATTCCCTAAACAATACAGTATAACAACTACTTACAAAGCATTTACATTGTGTTAGGCATTATAAGTAATCTAGAGATCATTTAAAGTATATAGGAGGATGTGCATAGAGTATACACAAATACTGTGCCATTTTATATCAGGGACTTGAGCATCTGTGGATTTTTATATATGCAGGTCTTAGAACCAATCCCTCATGGATACTGAGGGACAACTGTATATACTTAACACATCTACTTAGTGTATCTACTGAGATTTCAAAATCTTATCGATCCATTCTAAAGATAAAGTCCCAAGTCTCTAGTGACAACCCAACAGAATCTGTTGGCATCTAACAAGAATTCCGATCTCTGTGGACTAGCAGATGATTGACCCACCCAGAGGACAAAGACAATACAGAACACAGTAATTTATGCTGTGTTTTTCTGATTTCAAATGGAACTATATTCCAAAGTCATTCTGTTCCAATCCTTTGTGTCTTCTCTTCCCAATCATGTGGTCTTGTGGAAAGCCAAGTAGGACCAGAGATAAATAACTGTTTCTTCAGAGATCTGTTTTTATATTCAATGCAGCCCCATGTTGTTTTTGTTCTTTTATCACCAGCATTTCAATAAATGCTTATCTGCTCAGTAGTTCCCTTAAAGAACATAAAATAAAGAACAAAGGTCATAATTTAACCCAGAAAATCCTGACTACTCACCTGGTGAAGTGGCATGAGAAATCCTCTCAGTTGGGTGTTTCTCCTGCATTGCCATCACAGTTATCTGAGCCAACTGTAGAATGAAAGAATAACCAGTTGGTTCTCTCCATTATCTTTATTTATTTATTTATTTTGAGTTGGAGTCTCACTCTGTCACCCAGACTGGAGTGCAGTGGCCGCTCCCGGCCACTGCAGCCTCGACCTGCTGGGCTCCGGCGATCCTTCTGCCTCAGCCTTACGAGTAGCCAGAATTACAGGCATGCACTACCATGCCTGGCTAATTTTTTGATTTATTGTAGAGATGAGGTCTCGTTGCCCAGGCGGGTCTCGAACCCGCGGGCTCAGGCAATCCACTCACCTCAGCCTCCCAAAGGCGCGGGATTACAGTCTGAGCCATTGAGTTCGGCTTATTTTTTATTTTTTAGAGATCAAGTCTTGCTCTGTCACCCAGGCTAGAGTGCAGCTGTGTCCTCGAACTCCTGGACTCAAACAATCATCCCACCTCAGCCTCCCAAGTACCTGGTACCAGTTCTCTAATGTACTTTAGTGACCTCTATAGCAGGGGTCCACAATCCCCCCTCCACACCCTCCCAGGGCCACAGAGAAAGAGGTGAGTGGCAGGTGAGCAAGCAAAGCTTCATCTGTACAGCTGCTCTACCCTGCTGGCATTACTGCCTGAGCTCCGCCTACAGTCAGATCTGTGAGATCAGCGATGGCATTAGATTCTCATAGGAGTGCAAACCTTACTGTGAACTGTGCATGTGAGGGATCTAGGTTGCGCACTCCTTAAGAGAACCTAATGCCTCATGATCTGAGGTGAAGCTGAGGCAGTGATGCTAGCACTGAGGAGCAGCTGTAAACACATATTAAAATTAGCAGTGAGGTTTGGCAGCACAGAGACCATAAAAAATCAATTGCTTGCAGATTCATATCAAAACCTTATCAGTGAGGGCAACTGAGTTAATGTACTTCAATAATACAGCTACATCTGGTGGCAGGCAGGCTTTAAGTCAGAATCTGACCGTTTAGTTCGTGTGTGGCCTGTCCATTATTTTATTTACCACTTCCATCTGTGCCTCTTTTTTTAAAAAATGGTGAGTTGTATAATTCATTACATTATATATATATATTTATATATTTCATTATATATTACAATATAAAAGTAACAGAAATAAAGTGCATAATAAATGTTATGTGTTTGGGTTGGGTGCAGTGGCTTAAGCCTATAATCCTAGCACTTTTGGGAGGGGTTCGAGACCAGCCTAGGCAACTTGGTTGAGACCTCATCTCTACAATAAATAAAAAAGTTAGTTAAGCATGGTGGCACATGCCTGTAGTTCCGGCTACTTGGAAGGCTGAGGTGGAGGGATTGTCTAAGCTCAGTACGTCAAGGCTGTGGTAACCATGAGTGTGCCACCCCATTCCAGTCTGGGTGACAGGGTGAGACTCCAACTTAAAAAAAAAAAAAAAAAAAAAAAGTTATGTGCTTAAATTATCCTGAAACCATTTGTCTTCTACAGAACCGGTTCCTGAGCCAAAAAGGTTGGGGACTGCTGTTCTACAGTATTCTCTTAGTAACAACAGCCCAAGCCCTCATTAAATTCACTGCATCTACAACAGAAATGGTACCATCCTCCAAAACCTCACTTCTTCACGTACTGAAGGGGAGCTTTGTTCAGCAACAAAAGCCTCAGTTGGCCGGGTGAGGTGGCTGAAGTCTGCAATCCTAGCACTTTAGGAGGCAGAGGCGAGAAGATTGCCTGAGCCCAGGGTTCAAGACAAACCTGGTCAACTTGGCAAGACCTCGTTTCTACAATAAATTGTTTTTTTTTTTTTTTTTTTGAGTTGGAGTCTCACTCTGTCGCCCAGACTGGAGTGCAGTGGCCGCTCCCAGCCACCGCAGCCTCGACCTGCTGGGCTCCAGCGATCCTTCTGCTTCAGCCTTCCGAGTAGCTGGAACTACAGGCATGCGCTACCATGCCCGGTTAATTTTTTGATTTATTGTAGAGATGAGGTCTCGCCAAGTTGCCCAGGCGGGT